GGAAGTTTCCCCAGGTTAGCTTCGTGTGGATGGTTGCGAACTCCTTCTAAGACCAGTGGTAAACCGGTTGAACTTATTTTCGCCGATGAATTCAGGAAGTGAACCATGTGAACTGCGGAATGTCAACAGGGGCCCAAGGTCAGACTAACAGGCGGTTCGTAGTTCGGAATGCCAGATGCCGGATCCGAGGAACTGCCTTTTTTGTACTCCACGCTGATAAATGCGGGTCAACATTACCACCCAGTTCCTTAGTGGCACCCTGCAAATGTAATATGTTTATTGGGTGGATTCCCCAATGCAATAGGTTAGAGGAGGCTTCTTCTGAGGAACCCTTTTTGGTTTTCGCCCGCACTTTTTGGGGATACACCTGCAAATCCTGTTTGTATATTTGTTTTCGGCGTGCGAGGGCATGTCGTTTATTTCAAGAGGGCCCCTGATTTCGGAAGCACCGAGAAGCACGTTTCCCGGTATGTTTCTCAACAAGGTGGTTCTTTGAATATCACCGAGCCCTGGGCCATGTCTAGAATGGTGGGATCTCCTTTAGGAGCCTAGTGATGGAAATCAAAGGCTTGATCACAGAAAGAGCTCCATTCTTCACCACCAACCTGACGCCCTACAGAGCTTCCGCCAGTCCCCGTTTCAAGCGGGTTCCATGAGATTTGCAACAGGGGGGCCAGCAGGTGATGTTTTGCAAGATGCTCCAGTCCCGCCCATGAAGGTTCCGAACTAATGGGGAATCCTTGTAGAGGTCAATGAATGCGTTGCGGTGTCCTACTTACATACCCTAAATGAGCACACCCCGCCAATTCTTTTCAGCCGAGGATTGACTTGGGGGTGTGTACCCCGGATGGCCTGTGTACCATCCCTTGGTAAACAGTAGCTGCAGTAGTTATGCCAATGTGGTGAAAGTAGGACCTTAAGTTGGACCTTAGAGCGACAATCTTGAACTTCTAGCTGTTCAGCTGATACCCTCCCTCCAACAATCGAAGTGGACATGGGGCTTCCCAAGGAGTTGATCGTCTTCCAAATCCCTCCGATCAGCTTCCATGATTGTAGGAGGCTAGCAACTGGCCAATTCACGTCCCGAGTTTCTGGACTTTATACACCTTTTGGGTTTGGACCATTTTGCTGGTAAATACATACATAATAATAAATAATGATAATTATAATCATAGCTAATACCACTAATAATAATAAAACAACTTTTGTTGGCCAATCCACTCGATCGGAAGTGAGGCAACGACCCTCCAACTGGCCGTGCCCAGGCCCCAGGCGGTCGGCGAGAGCGCTCGCGATGCGCGCGCCGCGACCTTTGGCACCGACGGAGCGAGCGGGCTCCGGGAGTTTTTGCTGGGCCAGGCAGGCCGCAAAAAACGGGAGGAAGGCCAAAGGAAATCCAAAGGAAAACAAAGACAGACCAAACAAAACCGAAGGAATCTTAAGGAACCCAAAGGGTTCCCAAGAAAACCCAATCATCCAGAGAAAACCAAAGGAACCTAAAGAAACCAAAAACACCAAAAAGGAAACCAAAGGCCACCCCCCCCTTCCACAATGGTCCCAGAATTTCAGTGGTGCCCCTGATTTTTCTTTCTCTTTCTAGTGGTTGGGCCCAGGGTTTAGTGCACAGTTTAGGCCCAAGCCAGCCCGCAGTGGTGCCTTGGTGTTTTGGCTTTGAGTTTGTGTTGGTCTTACTTATTGGTACTTTGGTACGAGCTGCCAGCATCAGGTGCTCTTTTTCGAGGCCACTGGCGGTCTGGGATCAATCGCCAATGGTTTGGGGTTACCCGGAGGCAACTTCTGGGTGGTGGTGGGTGATACCATATAAGCTCTGAGCTCAGAAGAGCAGTTTACAGCGCTCAAGCTGGCGTTCAGACTCAAAAGCTCGGATTTGGATTCATGGACATGTTCGGAAATGAGCTGCCCCTCTCTGAATCATTCTTGTTTTCATACCCTTTTGGTTTCCCATTAAACTCACCCCAAAAAGGGCACCCCAAAAAAAGACAGGCTGTGCTTGGGAGTATTATGCACTTTCCGGGAGCCCAAATTTGCACTGCTTGTCACCGGCCAGGCGGTGACAGCCTGATTCATTCAAGTTGCATCCCATTTTCGTCTTAAGCAATGGCATCCAGCCGACGGTGATCTCCCAACCCTTGGGGAAGGGACGTCTTCACAGCACTTGAAGGCAGATCTGCGGCATCAACAACCCGAGAATCCCAGCCTTGGCACTATACAGCCCATATTCTATGCATACATATTAGTACATGCACATAGATACACACACGCATGTGTGTAAATGTGGTTTTCCTAAGACACCCTATTTATACCCGCAGATGTAACGGACCGGACGGAGGGTTAGTTTCCTTGGCTTCGAAGCCGTCCAAGCGAGAACTTTGCTACAGCCTGAGATCGTGGTTTGCCCCATGGCCAAGTCACATGCAGCTTGGGCATTTTTCAGCTGACCGGGTTTCTGATTTTAGTTCAGTGAAGGATGCAGTCAGAATTCAGGATATTCGAAGCACAGATTAAGTCTATCCTGCTTTGCTCAGAAGCCAAGTGGCATGCAATGGCCGTTCCAAAGGCAAACTTTGTCAAACAACTGCTATATTTGTTGTCTTGCTTTAGTGGTGGCTGGCAACAAAATAAGAATTCAACTGTTCAATCCTCGGGATTTGAACCAGGGCAATGGCATTCGTGGCATTCCCTGGGCTGGATTCCTTTGCTGAGCATCGACCCATTTTGTCCGACCCCGTCGGGTCGGCTGGCAGCGTGCCGGTCCTTCTTGCTGCTCTCCTCGCAGCAACCTTTTCGCAGAACCTGAGCCCGCCCTCCAGGGATCCATAAAGACTCACTTCCGTTCCCGGACTTTAGTCACTTTTTGGGAAGACCATTTGAGTGGTAAACAAAGTTTGCGACTCCTTGTTGGGCCATCCACTCGGGAGTGAAAGGAGGAGACATTGATGTGGAGCAAGCATTGTGTACTCAGGTCTTGCAGGGCTCCCTATCACCACCCCCCACCAAGGGACACTCACCTTTCGTCGTTGCCAAAAAGGTGATGTTAGAAAACCACCAAAAAGAGGAATACAGGAATCGACTGTCCTGGGGGCGGCCTTGGGATTGCATTGATTTTCAGCTCGGCGTGCGGCAAAGCCGCGGAGTCGAGCCAGTTTTAGCCAGCGGTGCTGCTTTGCATCCGGCTTAGCCTTGCAGGGACCGGGAGCGAGATCCACTGTGAATTGTGTTGCTTCATCCCAAAACGTGAAACATGTCGATGTGAGCAATGAACACGAGTGCCGGTTGTGGGTGGGGCCAGGTTCGAATTTGCAGGTTTGATATTGGCTTTGGGTAGTCCCTCATCGTTTTCTGGTGCTAGTATTGTCCCAAGTCAGTCGGGTAATTGTATGTTTGCGTGGGGTATTGGAAGCCACAAGCAGCGGAAGCTTGCTGCTCCTGTAGTTTCTGATCATGAGATTGAGTGTGTGTGGTTCTGTCATCCCAGGTTTGAGTTATGTGACTCAGGCACGCGCGCGCACACACACACACACACGCACAGGTCCTATCTTTGACCTCCGCTCGGCAGTCGCTTGAATCAGTGAGCTTGGGCAATTGGTGAGATTCCAACCCGGGACACCGCTCAGATGTTCAAGGGATCCAACGAGGTCCCCATTTTGTTTAAAGCAAACTCCGCAGTTGAGACATGCTTTTTTTTCGGAAGTCGGATGGCACACAGCAACCAACAAATTATCGTTTTGCAGCTCATGCCCTAAGGGTCCGATTCGACTGTTTTGGGGCCCTCATGGCTAGTGGGTTGTTTTTTGGGCCCGTGGTCGGAATTGGTCTGGGTTCGCCATAGGGTCCGGGGATAGGGGCATTGGAGGGGTCATGACGCGGGTGGACCCATTTGTCGGCGTTCCATGTGAACACGCCTCGCTCCCCAAGTCTCTGCTGCTTACGCGCGCCTGACAAGTCTTCTTAGCTTAGGGTCCGATCGCTGGGATCACCTCTGGGCATTCCAGCGGTCAAAGTGAAGGGGAGGTCTGCTTTCATGTTGGGCCAGGTGAGTGGTTCGCACTTGGGTTTTAAAGCTTAATAGTAGCAGGCTTAGTTTTATTGAATGAGGCACTTGTAAGTTGGTGGCAATATTTGTTTGGCACAATACTTACATGCGGGACAGCCTAGGTTTCCAGTTTTGGGACTTAGCAAATACACAAACAGATGTGTTCACCTTCCAGAAGCAAATCAGCTCACTTGAGCTCACCAGGCTCGATGACTCGATCCTGACTCGATCCTCTACCATAGGATTCCAGCTTTCCCTTCCCGAACCTCCCCTCCTCTCTACTAGTTTTTTTTTGGCGCTGGGGGAGGGGGAGTGAGAGGGGGGATCCTTTGATATTTAGGGCCAGAGTGCACGCTTCCTCGCAAAAATAAGAAGAAGCACAAAACAAAAACAGAAAACAACATGTTGGATCAATTTGGCTAAGTAAGCCGGTGGTGGAAGGTTTCTTACTTGGAGATTCCTTCGTCCAATCACGTGAGTTCTGGCCATTTGAAAGCCCAAAACATCTTGTTTGTAGTTGTTGTGTTTTGTTTCGGGGGGGCGGGGGGAGGGGGGTTGTCGAAAGCAGACTGGGTCCCAACAGGGGCGTCCAACCCAACTCTCCTACAGGTACTACGGGGTCGAGGCGTGTTTTCTTGCCGAGGGTGTTCAATTTGAGGTTATGGCTCAAAGGAATCTTGTTATGCATGTGTACATACAATATATTGAGGCACATCTATGCATATATATATATGTATACATATGTATGTATACACATATATATATATATGTATATGTATATGTACGTGCACATATATATATATATATACATATATATATATATATACATATATATATATACATATATATGCGGGGGACCATATATATATACATATATATATATATGTACACATATGTATGTGGAGGGCATGCAGCAAACCACCGCGCAGTCCAGCAGTTGGCGCAGGAGGCCCAGGCGGGGACATTTGAGCGCGTGGCGGAGCTGGAGGAGCGCTTGACAGGCGCGGGGTAAACTCGCTCACCCAAAAGCGCTTTCTCGCTTTGGCTTGGATTCTTCCATTTGCTGAAATGAATATTTGTTTGTTCCTCTGTTGGTTTTGAAGGGAATCTATGACTACTGTTTGTTTTGTGTGTGTGTTTTTTTCCAGGAGGCTTGCGCAAATGGAAGGATTGGTTGGGGATTTGAACCGTCGCAGGTGTCCCCTTCCAATCTCTTACCTTGCGACATGCGAAGAATCCCAACGATGCCCCAGACACAAAAGTTGTTTCAGGTCTCTTTTCTGGCGGACTCCGTAGGTGCGAAAAGGCCCAAAACGGCGAGGGGTCCCTACGGTAAAAGCCACTTGAGCCGCAATCAAAACTCGGGTAGATGAAGGTTAGTAAGGGACGATCCCAACCATAAATAGCTGCGGCCGCCATCACCAGGTTTTGATTACGACTCACGTGATCTCCGAAGCCGAGCTGAGATGCCAGGCGAGCGGCAGCTCTTGCTCGAGGCCGGCGAGGCTGGACCCTGCCTGCGCAAATTTTGGAGGAGCGCATCGTTTCAGGCATGTGTTGATAAGCTGGCCTGTCGTGAAGAGCAGCTGGCCTTTGGTGAAGAGCCCAGCAAGAGAATCGGCTTAGGGAACCCAAACATTGGGCTTTCCAAGGGAAAATGATGTTCCAGCCTGAAATATGTTTGCCCTTTTTCCCCTGGCATTCCTTCATTTTCCCCTATATCCAGCAAATGAATCTGACTTTTTGCAGGGTAAGCCAGGCCAAGACGAGGTGAAACCAGATGAAGCAAGGATAATCCATAAGAAAACCGTGAAGAGCGCCTGGAGGTACCTACCCCAAGCCATTCCAAACAAGGAACCCTGCATCCATTTGCGAGATTTATCACCGGCACCCGATTCGCCTGGACCCCTACAGCCGCCAGGCCCTTCAGAAGAGCAAAGCTGCCTCGGAGATGCTGCAGAGTCAGTGCACCGTGCCGCCGGCGAATGTTTTGAGAGCCGCTTGGTGGGGGGGATTGTCAAGCATTTGCAGTTCTTTTGTTTTTTTGAAGGGACTACCAACAAGGGGCCCTGATTTTGGCGACCCCCTTGTGTAACTGCATCTCGTGTGGTCTGAACCCAGGATGAACCTGTTTGACATGACCAATGTTGAACCAGCGTTTTGAGATTGGGTGAGGTTTCAGTTACCTTACAACGTACGAACATGACAGTACCATGCATGCCTGGGTGAAGCACCCAAGTACCACCCATGGAAAGGTAAAACAAGGGTATGGTTTCCTATATAGTACAACTGGGATACTCCCCTGCAAGGACCAACACGGAGGAACCTGTAAACCCGTGAACTACCTTGGAGGGGCCCAGACAGAGTATGCCTTTTGGAGCTGAATGCGTCAAGCTTCTGGGCTTTTTGATCGCTGCCGGCTCTCAAAGCTCTCGATCCCGTCTAGTCGGGATACCCTATACGTAGGTCTGAGATGGTTTGGACTGCCAGGGATCTAGGCTGGGCCTGAACGCATTTCAGACCCTATGTCCATACCAGTTTATACACCTAAACCAGAACTTTGTGCACGGGACGTGTGAAAAACTAGCTGTGGTTTTAAACAGACCTAATGGTTCCTCATATTTCCCTTTCTAGTAAGGGGAAATGTTGGGAACCCGGATTGAAGGCTGGTCCAAAGTCGACCCTTTCAACCCGGGTTTTTACCTGTCCCCATGGGGTTCGAAAATGGGGAAGGCTTACACACTGTGCCTGGGATCAACTGAGTCCACGCCGGTTTTGGCCACTGGCAATTTGGAAAGAAATATGGGATAGGGACTGTTTCAAAGGGAAAGCTAAAGGAACCTAATCTTTTCCAAGAAGGTTCCAACCTATCTTAAGACACACCCATTGAGAATGAGTTGGCTTGGAGTTACCTACCTTTAAATTATCTCTCGCCGAACGAAAAGGGTAGCCTCAAAAAGGAGATGTGTGTGTGAGTGTGTCTTTTTTAACTGTTGAACCCCCAAAATTGGTGGTGTTCCTGTTGGGTTCCCTCTACAACCACTTAAGGGTACCCTCAAAAACTTGCTGGTTCTTAGCACGGAATAGGGAACAACCCCAACAAAACTTCCCAGATGTCTTCCTTTATTCGGGACCTTCCGGTTCATTTGTCTCCACCCTTCGCACCAGCAAATTAAAATTCGACCGGCGCGGGAACCCTGTCTTACCTTGGCTTCCATTTGCTGAGCATATCTTGCTTTTCAATTTTCCCTGGCTGAAAATAAGTATTGGATTTAGAGTTCCAAAATGAACATATGTTACATATGTAGTTTGTTCTTTTCCATTTTCCCTTGGATTTAGAGTTGGAATCTATCACTGGCCATATGACCGTTGTTCTCCCGGCGAAAACGCAAAAATGGAAGTTGGCCAGGAGCTGCGGACCCGTCTCAGCGCGGAGGAGGAGCGTGCAGCCGCCGAGCTGCGCGAGGCGAAGCCGAACTCAGTGGTAGAAGAAGAAGAGGGAACCACTTTTTCTCATTTGGCTGTGGCTCAAAAAATCGGTACCAAAATGGAACCCTGGTAAGTGGAACCATGGACCTGCTTAATTTTGAGCCACACCCACTCCCTGAGTTCATGAACTATAAACTTTTGGAAAGACAATTTTAGCGGTAAATGAAAAGTTCAGACATGTTTGGGGAAGTGAGCTTTGGGGTTGGCAGTTTCTAGCCTAACAAATTGAGGATTTAAAAATGGGCACTGCTGAACAACTGGGACAAGATGGAGGCTGTGTTGCTTGGTTGAAGGGGGTCTCCATCCAAACAAAGTAGAAGGACACCGCAAATGTTTGTTTTTGGACAAGTTTGCAGAGACGCCACAAGTCGCGGGCTCCAGAGTCGTCCATCCCCAAATGCACACCCGGGATGCGGAGGCTACAAGCACTGTAGTATATATGTGTATGTATAAATATGAGATATAAATATATATATTATAGATATATGTGTATACAGTATACATATATACGTGTGTATAGTATGTATGTGTGTATATATATATAGATATATATATATATATATTGTCCCCAAGTTCGGTTTACGGGTAATGTTGGGGAGTGAATAATAAAGGGCCCCCCCCCCAAACAAAATGGGGGGGGTCAATAGAGGAAACCCTAAAAGCAAAATGAGGGTCAGACCGGGTCTTCCCTAAGTAGTATTCCAGTAAGTATTGGTTAGTATTGGTTTAGTATTGGTTTAGTATTGGTTTAGTATTCTTGCTGACTGGCTTAGTACTGAATAGAATTGGTTTAGTATTGGTTTAGTATTCTTGCTGACTGGCTTAGTACTGCTTAGAATTGGTTTAGTATTGGTTTAGTATTCTTGCTGACTGGCTTAGTACTGCTTAGAATTGGTTTAGTATTGGTTTAGTATTCTTGCTGACTGGCTTAGTACTGCTTAGAATTGGTTTAGTATTGGTTTAGTATTCTGGTTGACTGGCTTAGTACTGCTTAGAATTGGTTTAGTATTGGCTTAGTATTCCCTGGCCCCAGTCCTAAAAAACTTTTCTTAATTGACTCCCCTTAAACAAATCTCATTATTGGCTTCCTGGGTGTTCCCTGTACTACCCCCTTGAAAATTTGGCAGGGTGCAACTTTTAGTAAGGGCTGTCATAAAGAATTTGGCTGTTGGGGACCTCAGTTAAACATCCTTTTCAGGGACTTCAATCATCATCTCCTTGTTGGTGGTGGTGGTAGGTTGGGAGGGCGGGCGCACTGAACTAGGGATTAATTATCAAACTTTTTTGGGGGGAACATTTTTCCGGATTTTTTGCCCCTCACAAAAACTTTTGTGTATTAACTCCCCCTTTTGCTTTTCAGGGGTGTGAATATTTTTTTTTTGTGTATTGACTCCCCATTTATTATTCGCAACCTAACATTACTCTGGACCAACGTCCGGACCGTGACACTTGTAGGGTTCTTGGGCTGCTTTTTCCCATGTCCAAAATCCCAAGTAGTGTCCAAAATGCCGTATTTGGGGGCGGTGGGGGGGGGGTTGGAAGGGATCTATTTCATGGCCCACTGAATGTTTAACTTTGAGGGGATCAACAAGGGATGGACGCCTCTCCGGACGCCGTGTGAATATGTGTCCTCGAAAGGCACAGGGTTACCGCGCCAGTTGCGGGCACTACTTGTTTTCTTCAGAATCCTTGGATTTTTGTACCAGGTCATACCATCTTTCCAATGCCAGTTTGAAGGGCATCATGCAGAGCCTTTCGGCATGCGGGTGTTTTGTTTTGAGAACCAAAACTGGCAGTGATCAGGCATGGCAGGGCCAGGCCTAGAGAGCAGTAAAGAGAATGGACATTTACACGTCCTGTGAATGCGAGTGGCGCAGCCAAATGCAGCTTACACAACTGCTCTTGCCCCAATCACAAATCAATAATTTCAGGGCTTGAGTCAGCAAGCTGAGAAAGTAGAAGTTAGTTCTTCTTGAATTTGTTGGTATGTTTTTGTTTGACGCGATTGACTTGCCCCGTTTCCATGCAGTCATAGCAGGCCACGCCAAAGTGTCAAAAGCAGTTGTCATTGCATCAGCCCAAAACTGTAGACGTAACGCATCGAGATCATGCACGTCAGTGTCAGTATCCCTGCCTCCCCTCCCCGAACTTCGCCCCTGCCCAGAAAAAGGAACGCAGACCGCGCACGACGGCCCTTGTCCCCACCATCAAGGTCAATAAACTGTCAAGGTACACAGCCAAAGATAACACAGAATTAACATCAATGAACCGAGGAGAAAACCTGGCGTTCACCCTTAAGTCCCTAGACTAGAAAGCCACACCAGCTTCAAGCGCAGGCAGAGCGATGGCAGCAGATCTGCAACGACGCGCAAGAGGAGATGGAGAAGTTGGCGCAGGCGCGCTGGTTTTGAGCCTTGCCCCGAATCGCGCACCGAACATGAGATGCCTGGACCTTGCCGGTTTACTTTGGCAAGCCGCGCGGTCACCTTGAGGTTCCGCTGGTGTTTCAAGCATTCCAAGGGTTCCAGGCAAGGTTCCAAGTGGAGTTCCATACCTTGTTCCGCCCCCGAGATTGCCATCCCCTTGTGTTGGACAACTACGTTTAGTCGGAGTCGGGCGAACTACGTCGCGTGCGCACATGTTGGCTTCGAATGCCTCGCTTGGAGAGCAGAGGTCAAAGATGAAAACAGTCCCCTGTTTGGTGTTAGGAAAGGAAGGGTAAATCACTCTTGTTAGAGGGTTGTTCCCCATTTTGAATCTTTTCCAAGGAGGGTACGAGCAACTGCCAAGGACGACAAACCTCAACTTGAGGCAAGGTTTTGACGCTTCGCAAATGGTCCTTCCAGGGGATAAAGTGCCACGTCAGCATATCCTTGAGGATTGGGTTTCCACTGTGTCACCGAAAGGGTTATTTCAGCCGCCACCACGTGTGTGTCTGTGGGTAAATCCACCCGCGTCGTGGGTGCTAGATGGCTTGGGCCAAGTTGGATTGAGCTTGCGTGCGGTGCGAGAGGGCTAGAGGCTGCGTGCTTCGGGCACAAATCCCATTGAACCCTGCTTTGCGGGCTTTGGTGCGAAACTGCTATCCGGATGGCTCCCTGTTTTGCTTGTTTGGCGGAAAACCAGCTGGATGGCGTCGGATCTGGCGCGTAATTATTAAAGCCACCGGACGCGCGTCCTAAGTTGCTTCCCAACCTATTGCAGTGGATCACCCGGTAGACAAACCAACAGGAAAATCATCACGTGGGCCAGGTTGCTTCCCGTAAATGTTGATGTCCGCCAAATTTATTGAGGATACACGCGTGTGCCAACAGGCAACTTATTATTTGTTATTTCTTGCAAGAACCAGCAAGGACCAGCAAGAACCAATTTGGGAAAGTGGAGGAAATTCAAAGTTCAGGTAAGTGGAGCCTGCCCAAAGGCCCGCTGATTTTTTGTGGCACCCCAAAATGGGGGGCACTTCTAATATTTGGAAAGGCGGCATTCTAGGAATCTGAGGTGAGTGAACATTGCAGAGCTTTGGAAGACTACTTGTTTTCGGAACCCCTTGTAAATTGGAAGGATTTTAGGAAACAGGGGAGAGGGGACTTGTGGGGGTACCGGTTTTTGTTTCCTTGCCTGACCCCTTAAGTATTGGGTCGGAGAGCATTTGTCTGCTTCGCCATGGCTTTTTGTTTGCGTAGCTGTGGCTCGCTGTACTCGCCAGCAGCTTCTTGCATAGCATTGGGCCCCAGCACCTTATGGCGAGGGCTGGCGTAGTAGGCGACGATATGGGGCTGTGAGCGTAGGTCGAGTTGTCGATGTTGGATTGGGGTTGGCTAAGGGCTGGTTTGTGTCCGTCCGAACAAATGCTGTGGTCGGAGTCAATGCTAAGCAAAAGCAAAACCTAAGTCCCCCGACCCTCCCAAAAAAGGAGGACCAGCAAATCTGGCCTTCTCTTTTTGAACCAGCAAGAACCAGCACCCCCCCCCAAAAAAAAAGGTGTCAGAACCAGTTCCCATGTTGGATCTGATCTGCTCGCAGGCGCAGCGCTTGGAGAGCGAAGGTCTTCAGAAGCTGCTGGGGGTTCCTGGCCTCAGGTCTCATCCCTCTGGGATGGTTCAGCTACTGGCGGGAAATTTGTTGCACTTAACTCTCATAGCTCTGGTTTAGACCTTCTGAGTATTTCCAAAAAATTGGCGGAAGTTCACAGCACTCATTCGAGAAAACCGGGTTCCCTTTCAACAGGGGAGCTCTATTTCCCTGGTGGATTTAAGCCCTAACTCTTTTGAGCCATGAAAGGTGAGTGTCCCTTGGTGGGGGTTATGTTTCAAGGGGAATTATTGTGGGAGCCCTGTACAACCACCATGGTTTACCTAAGGATTGTCAAATTGGATCAACCATTCTTTGATTGGGCGCAAGGAATTCTAGGGATACTGGTTGCTTTCCCAAACAGATCCAAAGGGCAAGTTTGTGTGTGAAGCTAAAGTCCAAGGCGTTCTCCCCCCCCCCCGCCCCCTGCCGCCAGGGTTTCAATGGAGCCTAACAAGAGTCTCCCGATGAATTCGCAGAAACTGTTAAAGGGCCCAATGTCTCGCAGGTTTCGGGGAAGGGCAACCAGCAGCAGCCTTTGGGACAAATCGACGGGCTTCCCTGGAAAAATGGGGCATCAAGCCCCATCCAAACCCGTGGAGCCCATCGGCTTTAAAGCAAACCAACGGATATCAAAAAGACATGGGGTCAACAGGCATGGTGAATATATGTTGAGAGTGGTACAGTATTTGATCGAACCGTGTTTCAACAGCTAAGCCTCCAACAACCTGTTTGCATGTCTTAGTGATGAGTTGCTTGATTCCAAATTCTAGGGGTTCGACTCCCCATTCTTTTCAACCATCGTTCTTTTCAAACACCAGCTGTTTCCCTGGTTTTTCGATGATTTCCCGTAAAGAAGGATCCCTGCAAAGCATGGGGAAGCTTCCCCTGTTGACAAATGGAATTCACCTCCGGTGAGGTACTCCGACTTCCCACCCTAAGGGTCATGACAGACCCCCGGACTCTCCAATGGAGAACCCCGACCAATTCCTCCAGGGCCCTAAACAACAACCCATTTGGAGGGCCCCAAAACAGTCGAATCGGACCTAGGGCAACCAACATGCAAGAGGACACCGTCACTGATGAGCCCCGCGCCAAGGCAGAGCAGCAAACGGCCCAAGCCGCCCTGGAGGCGGTCCAGAGGAGACTGGAGGAGAAACCGAACCGTCAAAAACGACAATCGGACCAATTGCCAGTTTTGAATTTTTGGGGACCCAAAGTGGACATCAGAATTCGGGGATTCATGTCCGCCAACCACTTTTGAGCTCATTTGAGCCAGTTCCAACTCTGAAAATTCATAGCCGATTTTCGGTTTTGGTTGTACGCTGGGGTTGGGTCAAGACTTCGAGTGGTTCGCCAGTGGGCCACTTAGCCAAGCGAGTTGCTTCTGAGCAGGCTCCTTGGATGACTTCGGTAACAATGTGGGCTTTCTAACTTGGCCAAGAAAAAGTTATGTGTCGTCATATGGGTTTCTCTTTTTCCCCCTTTTTGTGGTGTTAAAGGAAACCAAGAGGGAAGCCACCATGCTGTTTTGTTTTTTAGGGAACCTCCTGTTTTGTAGTTTTAAAGGGAACCCAAGAGGGAAACCATAGTTTTTGGGGGTCCCGGAACAAGAGGCGTATACCCTATGTTTGTGGTTCCACCCCACGGTTTTGTTTTGGGGAAAGGGCCGAGGTGTTTGTGACTGCCTTAAGACCCATTGGCGGAGGGGAGCAGCGTGCAGATGTGATGCGATGTGAGCGGGTATTTCTGTTGAGCGGCTTTCTGCAATCTTTATTCACTAGGTCCCCCAGTAATGCCAACCTTTACCCCTTTTGTGGGGGAGGGTTCCCCCACTAAAATAGACAACAGAAAAAGTTGGTACCCTTTCTAACCTCTCTACTGGAGGACCTAGTTCAGGTAACCCTTAGTTTGCGGTTTGGATTGGTGGTTTGTGGAGCTGCTTTCTTGAAGGACTGGCATCGGCTTTTGTTTGTGATTCGTCGTAAGCTGGTTGCTGATCTCTCGATGGCTTTTTTTGTTTGGCGAGTTGTGCACCGACGCCGAAGGATGGATTGATCCATGCTTTTTGTTGAGATCCCGCACCCTCGGCAACATGGGATATACAGTGTTCAAATCCCCAAGGGCTCTCCAAACCACCAAATAGAGGGAAGCTGATTCATAAGATCCTTATTTCATAGTGGTTGCACCACCCCTTTGTGCCCAAGACTAGCGGTTTTCGGGCATACGGTTCGTCCGCGATTCGTGTTTTTTACCCGGGAGGAGAAGGAGACGGAAATGCAGATGAAGGAGGCCCAGCCGGACTGGATTGTTTGCATGGCTGGGCGTTTTCCAGTGAATCCGGTTCAACTTACCTTTTTGTTGGTTGAACCCACCAAACGTTGGTTTCTAGTATCTAGTTGTTTCTAGTTGGTGGTTTCTAGTTGGTGGTTTCTACTTGGTTTATTTGTTTTTGGTTGGTTTAGTGGTGGGGTTTTCGAATGTAACCCACCAAAGGTTAGTCACTTTTAGCGGCGGATCTGAGAACAGCCCTGCGTGGGTGTTGCCTTGTCAGGATGAGCTCTCCTGTGGGTAGCCAAAGTTGCTCCAGGGTTGTTCCAGTCAAGGATGAAACATGGGTTCTGTTTCCTGTGGTGAGCCCTTATACTAAGTGCGTTGGTTACACCCAAGTGAAGAATGGAAGGGTATACACACTGAAGCTGCTCACATGTCGGTTCGCGCCATATAGCCATCTCTTGTTGCTTTTTTACCCAGCTGAAAGCTATGGATTTGGTCTCTGCAAGCTTTAGGGTGGGCCGGCTTTCACAGGAGCAATCCTCTAGTCCTCAACTTGCAAGCGAGGGCGTGAATCGACCGAATCTTACCTTTTGATTTGGCCTGGTACATTTCCCATTTTTGGTCCTGACTCATGACCCCAAAGGGCATGAGAACCTGGTGTTTTTTCCTTTTTTTCTGGGACCGAGCTGGGCAAGTGAGAGTCCCGTGGCGTCCCGCGGCTTTTGGATACCCCGAGCTCTGAGCCCTCCTTGAGATGCCAGCGGCTTCTACATTGGGGGGGGGATCCAAGGGACAACTCTGAAGAGTAACTGTGAGTCGCAAAGATGTGCTTTTTTGATGGGTTGAAACACCAAACATGGGCATGACGCGTGAAGATTATGTTTGCAAACTCCCCAACTTTGCGGACGTGTTCTGCTTTTGCGATGAAGGGTCAGAATGTTTGTATATCTCCGTTGGTAGAAAGATCGTCGAAAACGGGCCTGAGATCTCCCAACGAGCCCACTCAGGCCGGGCAGTTCTTGGCTGCTTTTTGGGGACCAGACGTCGCTATGTTGGGGCAACTGACTCAGGCCGGGCAGTTCTCGGTAGCATCCATGCCAGGCTGCTGCCCAGCATGTGCAGGCTGGCCTCCAGGATGGGGGCGGCATCAAAGTTGGTTGGGATTTGGTCTTCCTTTGACGAAGAAACAAACAAACAAACAAACAAAAACGACACGTGCCCAGGTGTAGCCAACAATTGTGTGCTTTGCAGCGCCTCCTACAATACAAGCCACACGCACATGAACACAAACGAAGCACCGACAGAGGTTTGTCTCACCCTGGGGCAACCCCGAAACATGGTTTGCCATGTCTGTAGTTTTGCGGGAACAGAATAAAACAAACACCGAGCCTCACATAAGCATGCAGAGGGCTGATGTTGACTCCAAAATCGGACAAGCTCAACCAATTGTTGATAAATCGTTGTTTTTCATTGCGTACAAGCTGTTGGCGTCCTGCCCCTCTTTTTTGGACCCACTTTGGCCCTCAGTCCACCCCATTTTCCCTTTCAACCAGCGAACTGCTTCACCTCAGGCGCTAAGCCTGGCCAAGATGGTCCTTTGGGCAGATTGCAGCTCTTGTTACCTACCTGTGTGCGTTTGGGGCAAGGTTCGGCCAATGAACATCACAAGATCGCTTCATTTGCCATCCACAGGTACGGCCGATATTGCCGGACAAAAACCGAAGGAATTTGTGCTTTGGCTGGGGAAGTGTCAACCTCGGTGTCTCAAAGATTTGGAGGAATGGGGCTCAGTCCAATTAGATGGACGGCCCCATTGTTTGAAGGCCATTCCTTGAACGTGTTGAAATCGTTTTGGTCATGCTGTCCGTACAGCTTGGAGCTAACAAACACCAATAAAACCTTCTCCGTGGAAGGTGATGTTTTGCTCCTGGGAAACGGGTCCAAATGTCGTTTGTTCGTTTGGACCCCCCAAAGGGGTAAGTTTCCTTCCGTTTTTCTCGACTCACTCCCTAAGCTCGTGGACTTAAACTTTTTGGGAAGACCATTTTGCTGGCAAACCAACAATTTGGGAGCTCTTCTTGGCCAACTCACTTCCAGTGAGTTCATAAACGCCCTTCTTAACGGTAATCCTCTCGGTTTCCCTTTAAGCAACAACCAACAAGGGGTGTTTTCAAAGAAAGGCACCTGGAATCTCAATGACCCCTTAAAAATGGTGCCATGACCCCATTTTGGGTACTGGCCCCATTCTTAAAGATTATTTTTTGAGACTCCAGACCCACCGTCTCTCCTTTTCGCTCGAATCGAATCCGTGCGCAAGGAGCAGCTCGAGAACGCCCAGCTCTCCCTGGTGAAGCTTCAGGACCAGAGCGTCGAGGCGCAGAAGACGACGGGACGACGTCGTGTTGTTTGTTTTTCTTCTTCGACGCGAGAGAGAACCTCACCTACCTGGAGTCTCCTTCTGACCCTTTAAAAACAGGGGTCATTACCCAAAAGAATGGGGTCATGGACCCACTTCTAAAGGGTCATGGAGACTCCAGGTAGAAATAAGTGGGTTGTAAGGGTTCTGATCGAAAGCTTTCTTTCAAACCTTGCTGAGGTGCAGGACAGCCAATTTGGGTTATGGCCCACTAGCAGGGTCAATAATGGAGCAAAGCTTGCGATCGCTACGATAAGCAGGGAATGAGAGTTGTGGAATGACCCCGAGAAGAACCATCCAACTGGTGGTTTCCTTTAAGGGGACCAAAGCCTGGGTTCATTCTCTCATTCCCTACCTATCGCACCAGCAAGAAAAAGAAAAGCTGGGACCAGCAAGCCACCAACTGCTTTTCCGAGAGTACCAAGGGGACTTTTTGGACATGGGAGGCAGTTGTTGGGTGCTACGGGGCAAACGTCAAATGCCTGGGAAAATGGAAGAAACAAAAGAAAAGTCAAGTCTGTTGCAAGGTTCTGGGCTTGTGGGCTTGGGGTTCCCAAGGGCAATCAGCAAGGTGCAAAACGACCGGCTTAGAGCCGAAAGTGTTGGTCTGCGGATGCCCCAAACAGGTGGCCTCGAGGGGCCAAGATGTCTGGTTTGCAAATCCCCCCAAGAATGGAATTCGTGGGCGCAGACACCTGGAGTTCCAGAAATCTAAGTTTGTCCATTTGTGGGGAAGACTAGAGATTGGAGCAATACTGTTTGGTTGCTGGCATGCCTTTAGATAATGCGATATTCAACAAAAATAGGAGTCAGTCCCCGCTCAGGTGCAAGGATCGAAAGAAAGCTTTCGATTAGAACCCTTGCAATCCACTTAGTTCTATAGGTTGACCCTGTTATTAGGCCATACCCCAACTGAGCCACAATCAAACCCCGGGTAGATGAAGGTTAGTCAGGGACACTCCCAACCACAAATAGCTGCGGCCGCCTTCCTGATTCTTCACATGGTTCTGGGTAGACCATTTTACCACCGGGTTTTGACTATGACTCAAATGGCTTGCGGCTTTCAAACTCGGCCTTCCGCTGAATCCGCCGTGCCGCAACCGCGCCACCCATGGCAAACCGCACAGGCGCGCCGAGAACGCGAGTCCTTCGTGGTGGAGCGGCGGTCCCTGGAGGCGCCCTTGGGGCCTGAGTTGAGCCATCCGTCTCACGGCTTTGCTCCTTGATATCGGGTTTGACCACCTAGGTCCCCCAATAGTGCCCTTCTCTCCCCTTTTTCGGGGAGGGTTCCCCTACTAAAGTAGACTACAGAAAAAGGGTACCCTTATTCTAACCTATCTACTTGAGGACCTAGCAACAAGAGCCACAAGAAGAGCCATCAGATATGAAACCCCGAATTCAGGCTAGGGAGAGACATCAGAAATCAACTCCCCGGTAGATGAAGGTTAGGGACAGTCCGTTCCCAAGCCGGGGGTACAAAGACAATTTGTGGGTTGGAGGGTCAATGATCAGGTTTTTGCCATGGATTTAGATGAAACATCGTTCCATTCAAGCTGACCGGCTGTCACAAAACAGCCAAATGCCACCTTGATTGAGCAGATGCGCAGACGCAAAGCGCAACCAACGACTTTCCCTTACCCTCTGGCCATTGTCCTTTTTGTGTCAACAGAATAGGGATGCCATGTTAGTGTGCGTTGCTTTGTTCGTCCAGCAGTTGCCTTGCCAATATTTTGCTCAAGGCGCTTGGTTCGACCCTTTGTCTTACATTGCTTTGTCGAGATGGCTGCCTGTGCCATGGCAATCCCGATGAACGGGGCCGTGCAGTTCGTGCAGATGCCGATGCCGCTCTACCCTGTGGCGCCAATGTACTGGATGAATCAGATGGAACAATTGTTCTACTGTGTGTCGCAGGATTCTGGATTGCCTTGCCTGCTTTCCGAGCATGGATTTGCTTGCATGTAGATGACGCTTGGCCTATGCTGATACTGCAATGATGGGTATATGTGTTGATACATGTCGCCATGGAGAGTCTCATTTTTAGCGGTCTTGTCAAGATGAAGCCAGACGGAAACCATTCTGTTTGAGCTTTGACCCTGTGGTTTTGGCAGTCTGTCGCAGTTCCTGTCTTGTGTGGATAGCCTCTTGTACACGTGGTCATGTCCAGCCGACCGTGTGAAACAGGGGCTGTCCTTCTGGAGGTTCTTGTTCCCAGATGGTCAAAAGAAAACAAGCCAACAAAAGTGACATGAGTCACACTCAAATCCCGGGTAATTGGAGGGCTGTAAGAGACCATCCCAGCCAGAAATGGGTGCGGATATCCGCCTTTCAATTATTTGCAAATTTCTGGGTAGACCATTCTAATACCGGGTTTTGATTGCGGCTTGGCGATTTGCCGATTTGCCCAGCGTCTCATATTCGGGTTCTCGTCGACCAGTCTGTGAGCTCGGCAGGAGTGCGCCGCCGAACCCGTTGCTTGGGGGTTCGACTGGAGCATGCCGCAAGCGCAAGAGCCAGAGGCAGTTGTGACAGAAGTAGCCCACAACCTTGAGCATGTTGAACTGTTTACAAAGACTCCTGCAGCTTTTCCACAGGGCCCATATGTTCCATTTGCTTAAGAATATGTTTATTTGCCCTTGTTGGTTTTAAGGGGAAATCATCACTACTGGACATATTTGTTCAGGTCTTAACCAAATGGAAGACATTCAAGATCATTTTGCCGACCCTGAGAGGTGACGATGCCGCCAAAGCACAAATATCTGAGCCCCGGCGAGATACGCTGTCATCTAATCATCGACTCAACCTCCACGTGTTTGAGTCAACCCGAAGGCTGAAGGATGCCCTAGAAAGGGACGCTAAAGCAACGAAGCAAAAGGCTCATTTCTGGGTGCCGTTGAGCTATTTTTCGGGAGATGGGATACGTGACCTTTCATGAAGCATCTTGGAGGATTGATGAGGATTCGTTTCCAGGACAATGGAGGAGATGGAATCGTTGGTCCAGGATGGAGGATTCCCAACAGATTCCTCTCAGGACTACTTGTTGGGCATTTGCTTCGTGGAAATACTCAAGTTTGCATCAGGCGGGTTTTAGCCACGTTGTGACTTTGCGTAGCGTTGGCTTTGTGCTCTGTAGGCAAACATCTCCTTTCATCCCATCTCTCGTGAATGGTCATGATGTACATGTATGCATAGCTGGGAGGTTCTCAAAATGGGGGTCCTCTAAAACGATATGTATATATATATATATATTGTATATATGTATATATATATATATATATATGTATATATATATATTTATTTATTTATTTCCCGTTGTTTCCCTCCGAATACCAAGGAAAAGGGCGGAACCAGCCATGTTGACAAAAGTAGTTCGCAGAAATCACAGATCCATGGCCCTGCTGGTTTGGTTTACCAGCCTGGATCCCCGAGCGAGCCCCGCTCTTGTTGAAGCTCAACATCCCTTGAGCATTTTGGCAGGCGAACTATGGGATTTTCTGTGGGATTGGAGCCAAGTGATGGAAGCCACATCCCTTTCCCAGTGATTCCATTTACCTGTATAGTCGGTAGCCAACGGAACCACCCTTTCAAATCAAAGGACAATAGTTGGATGATCTAGACTAGGTGCTCCAGTAGAGAGGTTAGAATAAGGGTACCCTTTCTTCTGTATAGTCTATTTTAACAGGAGAAAGGGCAGCTGGGGGACCTAGTAGAAGGGCAGGGATCCACCGACCTGGTTTTTGTTCGCCCGTGCACATCTCATATCAAACCCGAGCTCCCAGGGCCATGGCGATGGACGAAGACGGCTGCTGGGAGGTCCAAGCGCTGATTCGGAAAGCCAACAACCAGGAGCTCATTGCGATGGCCTTTGAGTTTCGAGGCCGGGCGCTGCAATTGTTTTTTGTTCGTCTCGACCAGGTCCCCCAGCAATTGGTGCCCTTTCTCACCCCTTTTTTGGTTGGGAGATACGGTTCCCCTACTAAAATAGACTACAGAAAAAAAGGGTACCCTTATTCTAACTTCTCTACTGGAGGACGTAGCAAAGCCAATTTTGTTAATCTCAAGTGAAGCAAACCCCACATTTTATGTGCTGGTGTTGGTGTTGGCGTTGGTGTGGTCTTTTCAAAAGCTACCATGAGGTTCAGATTTGCTGGGGGGGGTACAGGATGACTTGCAGGAAATCAGCTTAGGGCTCTGGAAGACCATGGAAATCCTGGTCATCCTGCTGGGCCACGTGTCGTTCCTTTATTTGGGAGGTCCAAACCATCCATTCATCCAGTCCAGGTCTAATCCATTCATCCATCCATTTATCCGCCGGCTAAACGCAGCAAGCGACAGCCACAAAGCCTGGTCGCTAAACAGGGGTTTGGTAACACCGCGTTGGTCGCGTTTTGTGCAGGCATCGACATTGATGCAGCATGGTTTCAACACATTCGATATGTGTCATCAATTTGGTCACTTGGGCGCGGGTGGGCGGGTGTGTGGGTCTCTCTTTGGTCGTTTAAATCCCGAATTTGGTGGCTCCCAGCCATCCGGTTCCTTAGCTGTGTCGTTTTTTAGTTGGTGTAGTGGGGTCTTCCGAACTTAACCCACGAAAAGCTTCTGACTTCTAGCAGGGGATCTGAAAACGGACAGCCCAGAGAAGCCTTGCCAGGCCATGTCCGCGAGGCAGTGGAGTCTATGCATGGCAACCACGTCATCCAGAAGTTGGTGGACTATATGAAGCTCAGTAGGTACTTAGTTCCCCCAGCAAGGTACCCTTCTCTACCCCTTTTTTGGTTGGAAGGGTTGCCCTACTAGAATAGACTACAGAAAAAAGGGTACCCTTATTCTATGCTCTCTACTGGAGGACCTAGGTACGGAGGGACCATTGTTGGGTTTTTCTATTGCTACCTTCCATTTCCATTCTCTCCAACGATCCGAATCTTTTCAGGAAACCATCAGAAGCCCAGGGAAACAGCTGGTCTTTGAAAAGAACGATGGTTGAAGAGGATGGACAAGGAATCAACCCGTAGAGTTTGGGAATGAACCAGCAGGGGATGGTTGATAGGGGGCGTTCCTTCATTTCCTGCTGAGAAACAGCAAGTTTCGAATGGTGTGCTTTCAATTTGTCCGTCCGCAGAAATGGGAAAGGGAGGATTGATCGTTGCAAAGTGAGTTTCAGAGCTGTCTGGAGTTTGACACCACGTCCATAGCTTCGGAATGCACAAATGTGCGGGTTTGCCTGGAGCTCTGGAGCTCGTTTGAGGTTTTGTGCCCATGCCCCTGCTTCCCTTGTATTGGTATCCCTTAAATTTTGGATCCCCCAGCTGAAGCCATCAAATTCAGTTTGTAGCCCACGAATGTTGCATCCCTCCCATTTTGTTGAGAAAATTCGGCTCGTGCCCCAACATATCCCAACATCATGGGGCGAATTCCCTTTTGTTCTGGGTTGTTTGAGGGTTCAGGTCCCCCCGTTTTGCGAGATTCCCATCCGAGGAGGCCAGCGGACAGCTATTTCATCTTGGAGGAGCTGGAGAAATGGGCCCCCTTGGCCCGGCTGGCCAAGCACCGCTACGCCTGCCGCGTCTTGGAGCGGCGCCTTCGTCGGGTTTTTGGAGGTTCCAGAGCCAAGTTTTCCTAAGGGAAGGTTTTAAACGTGGCTTCCCCGCAATGGAAACCAGCAAATGGATCGACTGATGTGGGGAAATCCAGTGACCCCTGCTGGCTAACTGGGGGGGCGGTTGACGAATGTTTGATTTCAAGGGTCACCTTGGGTGAATCGCGGCGGGGGGGGGGGGCTTCCCTGGTCATAATCTCGTCTGCTGACTAGGTGTTCCATGGCTACTGCATCGGCATGTTGAAGGGTTGGGCTCGAATCAGAAGCAACACAAAGACCTCAAAGCTCGGCGTCTGCGTCCTGTAGATGGACATCAGCCCATTGAAGGCGTAATTGAAGCGCTGCAAAGTTTGAATGTGGGAAGCACGTGCTTTGCATTCAGGGTTTCTGCACAAATGAACTGTTAGGCAGCAAGAGCAGGGAAACACTCCGTACGAGCGCAGATGGTCCACTGGCATCATGGACTGCTCTCTCGTTGCATCTCCCAGAAACGCAGCTGGTTGGGAGTCCCCAAATCGCACGCCTCTGAGGCTCCTTTTTCTTCTGCTTCTTTGTTTTCTGTTCCTTTTGCCGTCTCAAGGA